TATAATAAGCACAAGCTCGAGTTTCGGTCCAAACTTTGTGTATTTCTTGGGTATAGCTCTCTTCACAAAGGGTACAAGTGTCTTCATATTCCATCCAACCGTGTCTACATCTCGCGTGATGTTGTGTTTGACGAGAGTGTATTCCCGTTCTCGTCTTTGTCCATAACTCCCACCCCTCCAGCCTCCTCCTTGCAATCCACCCCTCCACTGCCTGCTCAATTTGTTGATATTGCATATTCTCCTGCGTTGTTGCCTAATCATGCTGCAGGAACGGGTCGTGGAGTTCGCCTGGAGTTGCTGGAGGAGCCGGAGCCATCAACTGCACCCGACGTGGCGAATGGCCTTGTGCATGCGCCATGCATGCCTGGACTAGGCGCCTCAGCGTCGGCTCCGTCCGTGCCGGCCTCTTCTGAGGTTGGGTCGGTTCCGCCTGGGTCGGCCTTGCCCGGGCTGGTCTCCCCTGCACCGGCCTCCCCCGAGCCAGTGATTCCATCTGGGCCGGCCTCCTCCGAGCTGGTGCTCCCATCTGGGCCGGCCTCTCCTGAGCCGGTGAGCTCGCCTGGGCTGGGCTGCCGTGCCTCGGTTGGCCTTGAGCCGACTGACTCGCCCTTCCAGTCGCGTCTGTCACCAGGGTCGGCCTCGTCCTCGCCTGTCGCCGCTGCATCGTCACCGGCTGCGTCAGATACTTCTTCATCGCCGGGGCCGTTGCCACTGGTTGCACCACCTGCGGCCGTTCCTCTTCGACCACATACTCGCAGTCGGTCCGGTATTGTGTGTCCCAAGCAATGCAAAGATGGGACGGTCGCCTGGCTTGCGGCATGTATTGCTCATGTCAAGGAAGATCCTTCGGCTGAACCGCGTCACTTCCAGGTTGCTCTCGGGATTCCTCATTGGCGTCAAGCTATGGAGCAAGAGTATCAGGCATTGTTGACAAATGGTACTTGGCAGCTTGTTCCTCCGGTCTCTGGTGTCAATGTCATTGATTCCAAGTGGGTCTTCAAGGTTAAGAAGCATGCTGATGGTTCTATTGAACACTATAAGGCACGGTTAGTGGCGAAAGGGTTCAAGCAAAGGTATGGTCTTGACTATGAGGATACGTTCAGTCCGGTGATCAAACCAACAACTATTCGACTTCTGTTGTCCTTGGCTGTTACTCGGGGCTGGTTTCTTCGTCAGCTGGATGTTCAGAATGCCTTTCTTCATGGTGTTCTGGATGAGGAGGTTTACATGTGTCAGCCCCCTGGTTTTGTTGATCCTGCTCGTCCTCATCATCTGTGTCGCCTGGTCAAGGCGCTCTATGGGTTGAAGCAGGCTCCTCGTGCTTGGCATGCCAGATTGGGCTCTGTTCTTCGGTCACTTGGTTTTGTTCCCTCTACTGCTGACACCTCGCTCTTCCTTCTGCATCGACCTCAGGTGATGATGTATCTTCTGGTATATGTTGATGACATCATCCTCATTAGCTCCTCGGATGCTGCTGCTGACCGTCTGATATCTTCCTTAAGTGGAGATTTTGCGGTGAAGGATTTAGGAACGTTGCATTACTTCCTTGGGCTGGAAGTTTCACGTTCTTCTGCTGGCTTGACACTCACACAGCATAAGTATTCGATGGACCTGTTGCAACGGGCAGGTATGCTTAAATGCAAACATGTCATGACTCCTATGTCTGCTACTGATCGTCTGTCTGCGTTTGATGGAGATCCTCTCACCTCTGATGACGCCACTGAGTATCGTAGCGTTGTTGGTGGCCTGCAGTACTTAACTATCACTCGGCCAGATCTCTCATATGCAGTCAATCGTGTCTGCCAATTTCTTCATGCTCCTCGGACTTCTCATTGGACAGCGGTGAAGCAGATTCTTCGTTATGTTTGCTTTACTGCCTCATATGGTTTGCTCCTTCAGCCAGCACCGTCTCCTACGCTTTCTGCTTTTTCAGATGCTGACTGGGCTGGTAATCCAGATGACAGGCGATCCACGGGGGGACATGCTGTCTTCTTTGGTCCTAACTTGATCGCCCGGGCTGCTCGCAAACAAGCTACAGTGTCCAGGAGTAGCACTGAAGCAGAATATAAAGCTGTTGCAAATGCTACAGCTGAGATCATATGGGTACAGTCCTTATTGAGAGAGTTGGGAGTTCCTCAAACTCAGCCGCCTGTCCTTTGGTGTGATAACATTGGAGCTACATATCTCTCATCTAATCCAGTGTTTCATGCTCGGACAAAGCACATAGAAGTTGACTATCATTTTGTACGGGAACATGTTGCACAGAAGCTACTTCACATCAAGTTCATCTCCTCCAAAGATCAACTTGCTGACATTTTCACGAAGCCTCTTCCACAACCTCAGTTTGTAGGCTGCAGGCGCAATCTTAACATACTTTGTACTTCAGGGCATAGTTAAGATTGAGGGAGGGTGTTAGACTGTATTTACATATAGCTTCTGTATATGTCTTGTATATTGTATCGTACACCTTGGTGTACCCCTTATATATATGAGATAGCCACACCCTTAACGGGTGTCGTGCAGTTTCCCAAAACCCTAAGTCTTACAGGTCCAACTGCCGCCGACGCCACCATAACGCCAGGCAGTGTCACCCTCCTGCGCGAGTCCATCTCCGCTCATCAGGCGCCGAGTCTCCACTGCGCCGCGCCGCCGAGATCCGCCGTCATCAATGCAGCAGATGAAACACCGCTCCTCCTCTTGTCCCCTCCAACCAGCACTTGCTCCAAAACGATGCCCCCATGAGGGAGAACGATACCGATAGCACCATCATCGTCCGATCCGGTAGACCCGGATCTAGGGTTTCCCCCGGAACTTCCCGATCAGGTTGATGAGACCTGCAACGACGATGCCTCCAGAAGGAAACGACGTCTGAGACGCCGCCATCGTCCGCCAAGACCACAGTCTGGCGTGATTTTCATCGAAAACCACGTCTTCCCGACCTCGTGGCTGGCTGGAACCGAACGGAACCTCGCCACAAAGACGTATGTTGCCGTCGGTACTCCGGCGGAGATCCTGCATCTCCTCACCGGTCCCTCCACGCGCCGCCGGTCAGCGAAAGGCCTCCCCGCGAGGCATCCAAACGAGGCGTTGGATCCGCAGTAGCCGTCGTCACCATCACGAGCAGGACAACCCACCTCGCCGGATGGGGCACTGCCACCGCCGCCGTCCATGCAGGGCCGCCGCTCCGCCGGCGATGGTGCTCGGGCCCCCGCCGCACAGCCCGGATACTCCATCCTAGCCGCCGCCGTTGGATCTCATGAGAAGGGCCGCCCCCGCCGCCTCAAATGGGATCCGCCGCCTCCCCCCGCCCAGGACCTTTGGCACCGGGCCCGCCGCCACCGCGACCCACGCCGGCGGCAGCGGCGACAGGAGGGGGTGGAGGGAGAGGTGCTGGCGGTGCTAGGGTTGGGGCCCCTGGCGTCGCCCGGGGGGAGGCGACGCGAGGGGTGCGAGGGATGTCCCTAACGTGTACAAACGTGTGTGCCGAGGTCGGCAAGGAGTTGGGGTTAGAGATGACAGCCACCGGCCGCAAGGGGCACCGGCGGTGGCTGGTCTTAAAAATGGGAGAGAATTTCACTTTCCGGCCTCTGCACCAACTAGGGATGCATACGGCCATTTTAGTATGAGTACCAAGATAAACATGGTCCTCAGAATTTTTTTAAATGAGTATCAAGATGTTTCTTGATGCGTGATTCCAACACACACCAAACTTGATCCTCAATAAACAAGTGACTTTTGGCCACCTGAGTTGCCGCCTGAAAGAAACAAAAGAAAGGTTTCATGTCACAACTTATATTAAGAAAAGAACAGTGCAACGGTACTTTAAGCTATATCTCCATATCGTATTGTTCAACAACGTGAGGCGTTCATTGCAACGGTACTTTAATCCAACCCCCTTAATATTCAGTTCAAAAGGACACTAGTTGACAATCATTGGGAAGAATGGCTACATCTAGTAAGTAGACTGATGGAGGTTCAGTTATCTCAACAGCCCGATAAACTACGCTGGAAGCTTACTAGGTCTGGAGAGTTTACAGTTAAATCAATGTATGTTGATGTTATCAATTCAAGCTCGATTCCTAGTTACAAATGTGTTTGGGTTGTCAAAATTCCTTTGAAAATCAAAGTGTTTATGTGGTTTGTCCATAAACAAGTTATATTAACCAAGGACAATTTGACAAAGCGTAATTGGACAGGACCTACTAGGTGTAGTTTCTATGATCGGGATGAAACTATCAAACACCTTTTTCTTGATTGCCCGTTAGACAAAGTTCTATGGCGGACAGTCCATATTGCATTTAATATTACTCCACTGAGTTCTGTCAACACGTTATTTGGAACGTGGCTTAACGGGATAGAGTCCGAAACAGCGAGACATATTCGCGTAGGAGTCTGTGCTTTATTGTGGGCAGTCTGGAACTGCGGAAATGATTTGGTTTTTAACAGAACAACAAATATTCATTTTTTGCAGGTTATTTTCCGAGCCACTGCGTTGATCCGTATGTGGTCGCTACTCACTCCGACGAAGGCCAGGGAGCGTTTGGTTACTGGATCTATCCACTGGGAGATGGTAGCACGGGATATCTTCAACCGGTTTGGGTGGCGGTCATGTAATAGGATAGACAATTAGTTTACCTATCTCTCTTATGCCAGCCGGTTGTGGCTTTTTATGGCTAGTTTGTCTTTTGGCCCTTTTAGCTCTTTGTGAGCTCTCTTTTATTTTCGTTTTGAGACTTTAAGACCTTGTTGAACCTTTTTATTTATTTAGTAAGTTGGCCGTATGCATCGTTCTGACGCAGAGGCCGGAAGTCTCCCTTTTTGAAAAAAAAAGAACAGTGCAACACATGACAGTGTGTTGCTTCTCTAAATTTGGGAACAAATGTTTTTGTGGCACAACATGAAGCCAAGGAGAATGCTGCAAAGAAAACAAAACTACAACCTAGAAACATGCATAACATATTTCAGAAATATACACAGAAAACTGACCGTTCTTTCAGATTTTAGGAAGCAAGCTTAGAAATGAGCTCCTTCAGAAGAGAAGGACAGGTTCTAGTTATGTCCTCCAAGCCGTCAGCCGCCGCTATCACCGTTATCTCCTTCAAATTGGCGGGAGTCTTGATGAATTCAAAGCAAACCTCCTTCAACCCGTGACAATTATGCTGCTCGGCTAGAGTAAGAATAGTCGTCACCGAGCTCACATCTATGTGTTCGCACAGCTTTTCTTCACATAGTCCATTGAGCCTTTGGAGATCATATTTATCCGCTGCTGCAAGCAAGTGTTGCAGCCACAATGCTTCCTGGGCTTCTCCTTGCTCATCACCCATGTCTATCTCCATCTCGGGAAGTGAGTCGGTGTAAATAAAGTCAAGCAAGGCCCTAAACACCTTTGCTTCCATGTCTTCTACATCTACGACACTTGCTACAGTGCCCTCCTTCATGGAGCCAAGCAGCTCCGCCTTGAAAACCACAGACCGAGCTGCAAGCACGCATCGATGGGCAGCGAACTTCTGACCGGACACCATGAATGTCACGTCCGTGCCCTCCTTGGAGAGGAAGAGGTCGCTGATATGCTGTTTTATGCTAGAAGGCAGCACCTTGATGAAGAGATCAACTGTCGTAGCAATGGCGACGTCGCATCGGATGGTGAAACAATCATCTCGTAGATGCTTTGATTTCTCAAGGGCGTCTCTTTTCATGAAATTCTTGTAACCCCAAGAGGGATGACAGTTGGAGAAATTGTCTGCCCTTTTTGCATGAATATATGTTGAATCTTGCTTCTCAAGCTCGTCGATGAAACTAAATCCGAACTGTACCTTTAGACCCTCCACGGCATTTTCATCAAGACGAAAATAAAGAGATACATAGTCCGCACACTCTGGGCGGTCCCCATTAGGATAGCAGCTGATGCGCCAACGATGGCCTCCTACCGTAAATGGGAGAGAGACGACCTTCGTGCCAATAGGTGTAGTGGCTTTGATGTGCGAGTAGCGGTTAACCACGAGCAGGTGGTACCCGCTGGCCGCGGAGACGTTGATGGCGTGGCCGACGGCCTCGCCGTCGCCGACGAGAGAGACGCCGGCAAATGACATGGCAGATGAGCAGAATATATATAACTGAAATATGAACTGGACTATGTGGGTGAACACGTCAGTACTGCCGCTCGAGTCTTCCTCGTGCGTCCAAGTCGTGGAAACTCGGCCGACGCTCGTACAAGTATTTCGTCAGAGTTCACGAACGAGACAGACGCACCCGGGACGAACAGGATTTGGTCCTCTGCCAAACTGTTTGCTTCTGTCAATGGTTGACTCACATCATGATTTCTGTGTATATATAGACGCCAACATATAACACCATAACACAATAGGATTCTAACTTGAAGCCGTGACGGGCATGAACTGCACTAACACACGCGTACACAAACAACTTTAACAAGGAAACTAGTAGTTCCCTAGTACTATTGACTAGCAGGCTCTCAATCAGGACACGGACAGGTTCTTTTTTTCTTTTTTTGATGGCACGCGGCGCTCCGGCAGCGGGCGGACACCAAAATTGACCTTGATCGTCCAGTTCAGAGTAACCGATCGGATTTGAAAGTGGCAAGTCAAGGAATGCTGAAACCGATGCAGTACAAGCTGTTGAGTTGCCGAACTGTTCTAACCGAATTCAAATTTTTTTTTTAGAAAAGGAGGATGACCCCCGGCCTCTGCATCTGGGAGATGCATGCGGCCATTTTATTGATTATTCTCGAGGACCTTACAAAGTAGTACAACAATATGTCTGAATCCGCCATCTTGGCAACCTATGCCGCTACTCCTATCCATATGATGAAGGGGTGCAAGCTGGGCCATATACCCAGTCCTCTCACCTAAGCCTAACATCTAAAGCTGGAAGCCCGACCGAGTCACATACCGGGTCTGGGGCACAATCCAGTCCGACGCACTCACATGTGTCGTCGCCACCATCTTCCACTTGTCCATCTTCAGAGCAGATTGAGGTACCAAGCTTGGCAGGTTCCTCCGCCATCGACGCCACCATAACGCCAAATGACGACCACCACCTATGCCAGTCCATCTCCAAGCCGAAGGAGCGCTACCACAAGATGAAGACCGGCGGTAGAATAGATGAAACATTGCACACATTGCCACCGCCAAACACCTCACACGCACCGCAAAGCGCCCACCGTGCTTCCGGGAACCCGAGGCGACGCCTTCAAGGAGCACGACAAGGGTACGACGCCGTCGCCCACAAGGAGAACTAGAGCTTTCGCCCAAAAGGAGAGCACAGTGAAAGATGGGAGAGGACCTCGACAAGGCCTCCAAGAAGGGAACCGACGCCCAGCAAAGGCGCCGCCATTGTCGTGGCCTCCGCCGACGGCCAAGGGTTTCCCCCGGTCCCGCCCCCATCCCATCCACTCGGCCAATGACCTGGCCAGAGGAGCGCACGCAGCCGAAGAAGGCGTTCGACTTCATCGAAGCAGGCACGCCGGGTGACGGGGCACCCCGACCCACTGTAGTAGACGTCCACCGAGACCTCGTCGCCCGCGCGGCCGAAGTCACGGACCACCAGCACCCACGGCCGTCGCCCGCAGAGGCAACACCATCCACACCACCCGAGGCCGCTGCCCCGACATCCACCCACCACACACATCCCGTTGAACCATGAAGAAAGACCCATACCGCCGCCACCAGGGAGCACCACACCGCGACCCAAGCCGGGAAGGACGAGGCAGGGCCACGCCGGCCAGATCCGGGCGGATCCGGCGAACCCCGTCTCACCAACCGCCGGATCAGAGGAGCGCCCCGATCCAGGGCCGAGCCGGCCTGATCTGATGGGCAGCGCCGAAGCCCCCGCACCGGATCGGGAGGGGGCGAACGCCGCAGAGAGACGGTAGGAAGCGGGCGGCGGCGTCTTCTGATGCGGGGAGGGGTGTCTCCAGAGGCCGAGGCGGGCGTGCGGGGAAGCCCCACCGCCGCCTACCGCCGCGCGGGCAAGCCCGACGACGACTGCCGACGGCGGCGGGGGAGGAGGAGGGGCGGCGGGGAACCGGCGGGCGACTAGAGTTGCGCCCCTGAGTCGCCCGAGAGCGGACGACGCGGGGGGAACGGGGATTACCCGGTGTCGCGGGATGATGCTCCCCTAACCAAAATCAAATGAGTTGATAGTAGTGGTGCATCCTGGAATTCCTTAGACATAACAGCAGTTGATCTTGGCCGCGTGCATCTTTCTGATGCAGAGGCCGAGGGATGACCTGTTGGGGAACGTTGCAGAAAACAAAAAATTTCCTACGGTTTCACCAAGATCCATCTATGAGTTCATCTAGCAACGAGTGATCGGATTGCATCTACATACCTTTGTAGATCACGAGCGGAAGCGTTCAAAGAACGGGGATGAGGAAGTCATACTCGAGTGATCCAAATCACCGGAGATCCTAGCGCCGAACGGACGGCACCTCCGCGTTCAACACATGTACGGTCAGCGTGACGTCTCCTCCTTCTTGATCCAGCAAGGGGGGAGGAGATGTTGATGAAGATCCAGCAGCACGACGGCGTGGTGGTGGATGCAGGAGTCACCGCAGCAAGGCTTCGCCGTTCTACTGCGAGAGGGAGAGGTGTAGCAGGGGAGAGGGAGGCGCCAAGAGTCAAGGGTGCGGCTGCCCCTCCCTCCCCCCCTTTATATAGGCTCCCCTAGGGGGGCGCCGGCCCTAGGAGATGGGATCTCCTAGGGGGGGGCAGCGGCCAAGGGGTGGAGTGCCCCCCAAGCCAGGTGGGGCGCCCCCCACCCTAGGGTTCCCAACCCTAGGCGCATGGGGTGGGCCAAAGGGGGCATACCAGACCACTATGGGCTGGTTCCCCTCCCCATTTCAGCCCATGGGGCCCTCCGGGATGGGTGACCCCACCCGGTGGACCCCCCGGGACCCTTCCGGTGGTCCCGGTACAATACCGGTGACCCCTGAAACTCTCCCGATGGCCGAAACTGCACTTCCTATATATAATTCTTCACCTCCGGACCATTCCGGAACTCCTCATGACGTCCGGGACCTCATCCGGGAGTCCGAACAACTTTGGGGTTACTGCATATTCATATCTCTACAACCCTAGCGTCATCGAACCTTAAGTGTGTAGACCCTACGGGTTCGGGAGACATGTAGACATGACCGAGACGGCTCTCCGGTCAATAACCAACAGCTGGATCTGGATACCCATGTTGGCTCCCACATGCTCCTCGAGAATCTCATCGGATGAACCACGATGTCGAGGATTCAAGCAACCCCGTATACAATTCCCTTTGTCAATCGGTACGTTACTTGCCCGAGATTCGATCGTCGGTATCCCAATACCTCGTTCAATCTCGTTACCGGCAAGTCACTTTACTCGTACCGTAATGCATGATCCCGTGACCAGATACTTGGTCACTTTGAGCTCATTATGATGATGCATTACCGAGTGGGCCTAGAGATGTTGGGGAACGTTGCAGAAAACAAAAAATTTCCTACGGTTTCACTAAGATCCATCTATGAGTTCATCTAGCAACGAGTGATCGGATGCATCTACATACCTTTGTAGATCGCGAGCTGAAGCGTTCAAAGAATGGGGATGAGGGAGTCGTACTCGACGTGATCCAAATCACCGGAGATCCTAGCACCGAACGGACGGCAACTCCGCGTTCAACACACGTACGGTCAGCGTGACGTCTCCTCCTTCTTGATCCAGCAAGGGGGAAGGAGAGGTTGATGAAGATCCAGCAGCACGACGGCGTGGTGGTGGACGCAGCAGTCACCGCAGCAGGGCTTCGCCGAGCTTCTACGAAAGGGAGAGGTGTAGCAGGAGAGAGGGAGGCGCCAAGGCTTAAGGGTGCGGCTGCCCCTCCCTCCCCTCCTTTATATAGGCCCCCTTGGGGGGGCGTCGGCCCTTGGAGATCAGATCTCCCAAGGGGGGTGGCGGCCAGGGGGGTTGGAGTACCCCCCAAGGCAAGTGGGGCGCCCCCCACCCTAGGGTTTCGAACCCTAGGCGCAGGGGGTGGGCCAAGGGGGGCGCACCAGCCCACTATGGGCTGGTTCCCCTCCCCACTTCAGCCCATGGGGCCCTCCGGGATGGGTGGCCCCACCCGTTGGACCCCCGGGACCCATCCGGTGGTCCCGGTACAATACCGGTGACCCCGAAACTCTCCCGATGGCCGAAACTGCACTTCCTATATATAATTCTTCACCTCTGGACCATTCCGGAACTCCTCATGACGTCCGGGATCTCATCCGGGACTCCGAACAACTTTTGGGTTACTGCATATTCATATCTCTACAACCCTAGCGTCACCGAACCTTAAGTGTGTAGACCCTACGGGTTCGGGAGACATGTAGACATGACCGAGACGGTTCTCCGGTCAATAACCAACAACGGGATCTGGATACCCATGTTGGCTCCCACATGCTCCTCGATGATCTCATCGGATGAACCACGATGTCGAGGATTCAGGCAATCCTGTATACAATTCCCTTTGTCAATTGGTACGTTACTTACCCGAGATTCGATCGTCGGTATCCCAATACCTCGTTCAATCTCGTTACCAACAAGTCACTTTACTCGTACCGTAATGCATGATCCCATGACCAGACACTTGGTCACTTTGAGCTCATTATGATGATGCATTACCGAGTGGGCCCAAAGATACCTCTCCGTCATACTGAGTGACAAATCCCAGTCTTGATCCGTGTCAACCCAACAGACACTTTCGGAGATACCCGTAGTATACCTTTATAGTCACCCAGTTACGTTGTGACGTTTGGTACACCCAAAGCACTCCTACGGTATCCGGGAGTTACACGATCTCATGGTCTAAGGAAAAGATACTTGACATTGGAAAAACTCTAGCAAACGAACTATACAATCTTGTGCTATGTTTAGGATTGGGTCTTGTCCATCACATCATTCTCCTAATGATGTGATCTCGTTATCAATGACATCCAATGTCCATAGCCAGGAAACCATGACTATCTGTTGATTAACGAGCTAGTCAACTAGAGGCTTACTAGGGACATGTTGGTGTCTATGTATTCACACATGTATTACGATTTCCGGATAACACAATTATAGCA